CTCTCTCTCTGACTCCCTCTCTCACTCAATCACTCACTTGGAGAACCGATTGAAACTCCAAAGAGTGAACATCGATTACGGAGTGAAGTGTAAAAAGACTTTATTCTTATGGACACTGATCTAAATCCCGACCCAGGAGAAGATCCTGAACTAGTCCAACTTATGGACCAAGAAATTCAAACAAAGAGAACAAGAGAAGAATTAGAAAGTGATAACGAAGAAAACCCAATTTCAAAACAACCAAAAAATCAAGAAGCCGGTTGGAGAAAGCCGGAAGAACAACACCCAACAACTAGTAAGAATACAACAAATATGAAGGTAGGACAAGAAAACCCTGTAATACTTATACAATTGATAGATGATAAAACAACAACAAACTTCAACAATCCCATTAAATTAACAAAAGCCTTAAATACATCTGAATTTCATAAATACATCATAGAAGATTCCCTTAGAGTACTAGGAACAGGAAAGGCTCTAAGATTCGAAATCAATGATTTAAGTAAAATAAAACCCCTCAGAGAAATAAAAAAAACTTGGAGAATGGAACATAACCTGCAAACAGCCAACCTCAAACAAAAATGCTAATTGTTCATATGGAACAATATATCCAGTAGAACCTGAGCTGAAAATTGAAAACATAAAAGAAAAAATAAGAACACTGGGTAACACAACTAACGAAATAATAGAAGTAATAAGACTAAAAAAACTAAATAAAGATAAAAATAGCCAAGAGAAATGGTATGCAACAAAATCCCTAAGAATAACTTTCAGTGGATTTCTACCAGAAAGAATAGCCATAGGACACACAAGCTACAAAGTTAGACAATATACTTTCCCAATAATAAAATGCTACAATTGTCTGAGATACGGACATGGGATTGTTACATGTAAGAATAAAATGAGATGTAGCAAATGCAGTCAGCATGGACACAAAATAAGTGAATGTGAAAATAATCCATACTGCTTTTTCTGTGATGAAGAACATTTTCCAAATAACATAGAATGTAAAAAACATAGAGAAGCACAAGAAATAAATAAAGAAAATAAAACACCAAATAACTTTGAAATAAAAAAGCAACTACAACAACTCAAACCGGAAAAGAAAAACAAAAATAACCAAAACCGGGAACCAATGAACAGACAACCATCCCAGATTATCAGATCACAATCAGAAGAAGAAAATAACTTAGAAAGCTATGCACAAAAGCTAACTCAACCACAAAGCCTAACCTTAGGTCAAAAAACGCCTGCAAAACCAAAAGAACAAACTCCAACAAGACCTAGATCTGGAAAAAAACAAAAACCAAGGAAATACATCTCCTAAAAGATATAACAAAAATTCAAGTGAAGAAAACAAAACTATAACAAACTCAGAACAAAGAGGTTACTGAATCCCCAACCACATGGTCATTACCTACCCCAATACAGTACAAAGAAAAAAAAAAAACAATAAAGAAGATGAAAATGATAACTTTTCATGGATAAAAGTAACCAAAAGTATTTTCAAAATAATAACAAATCTAATAAACAACTTCAACTCCGAGAAACCCTTAATGCAAAATATAATAGACATCATAAACGAAATTAGCTTAGTGCTAAAAGACATTATAGCATATTGAAATGTACAAACTAATTCTTTGGAATGCAAGATCAATACTAAATAAAAAAACAGAACTAAATTATCTAACATATAAAGAAAACCCAGGAATATTAGCAATTAATGAAACATGGCTAAAAGAAAAAGATACCCTCAACATCAACAACTATACAGTCATAAGAAAAGACAGAAACAATCAAATAGGAGGAGGTCTTGCTGTATGCATTAAAAAGGATATTCAGCATAAAAAAATAAACTTAAATGACAGATACAAAGATAAAATAGAAGTACTAGGAATTAAAACAAGTTATAAAAGAAACTGGCTAAACATACTATTAATATATAATCCATGTAATGTAATAGAAGCAGAAGAACTAGAATATTATTCAGATCAGATAAGACATCCAAAATTAATAATAGGAGACTTCAACGCGCATCACCCTCTCTGGAATGAAAATACAAACCAAAGACAAACAAATACAACAGGAACAAATATAACAAAATGGCTAAGTCAAAATAATGTATTACTACTAACTCCAAGAAACCTCATAACCAGAATTGATCCAAAAACTGCAAAAGAATCCACATTAGATCTCGTATTTGGCTCACCCGCCCTAAGTCATCTACAAATAAAATCTGCATCCCACCAAATAAGTGACCATCTGCCAATAATAATAATGGACAACACATACATTGAAAACCATTTACTCAAAGAAAAAAAATGGTACTACACAAAAGAAAGATGGAAAGACTACCAGAAAGAATTAAATGAAACAAATTTAGAAGAAATATCAACCATAGAAGAAATAACAGAGCAGATAAAAAATACAGCTCTAAAATATTTAAAATTAGAAACAAGACAAAAAATAGATAAACCAAATAAACCATGGTGGAACAAAGATTGTCATGAAACTATAAAAGAAAGGAATAAAGCTTTTAACAGATGGAGGAAAAAAACCAACTAGCAAACCAAATAGAATACAAAAAGCTATCAGCAAAAGCAAAGCAAACAATAACTCAACAAAAAAAGAAATCATGGAACGATTTTTGTGAAACATTAAACTTCAAAAACCCACCAAAAAAGATTTGGAACTTTTTCAAAAAATTGACAGGAAAAACAATTACAACGGAATATCCAATAATAGATAATGATTTGCCACTAACAAATATCAACCAAAAACTAGAAAAATTCAAAGAAGAATATATGGAAACAGTAAACAAAATACCCAAAAAATTATTATCAAATTCACAAAAATACAAATACAAATGAACTAAGCAACGAACTAACCATGATAGAATTAAAAACAATACTAAAAAATGCTAAGAATAACAAAGCATATGGCCCAGACGAGATACCATACGAACTATATAAAAATGCACCAGATAATTTGCTGAAGGCAATTCTAAGAATAATGAATACACACTGGTCCAGGGGTGAATACCCAGCATCACAAAAAAATGAGATAGTAAATCCAATAGTTAAACCAGGAAAAAACCCAAATGATGCAAAATCCTACAGATTCATATGTAGAATATCTTGTATCGGAAAGTTATTTGAAAGTCTAATAACAAAAAGAATAACTTGGTTTCTGGAACATTATAACAAACTAGACAAAGATTTAAATGGATTCAGGCCAAACAGAAATACAATAGATGCATTACAAATACTAGATAATCATATAAACAAAGCATTCGTGGAAAAACAATATACCATAATAGCCTGTATAGATTTGGAAAAGGCTTTTGACACAGTCAACCACGAAGCACTAATAATAAAAATGGCAAAACTAGGAATAACAGGTAACCCATTAAAATGGATAAATGAGCTTTTAGAAAATAGAACATTCCAAATAAAGATTGGAAATAGAACTTCAAAGAAAGGAACAACTAAATGTGGGGTACCTCAAGGGTCTCCAATAAGCCCAGTACTATTCAACATAATGATAAACGATTTGAAACTAACAGGCATCGAAAAAATAATATACGCCGATGATATTACATTAATAATAAGTAAAAAAAATTTAATTGAAGCAGCAAACAAACTAGAAACAGAACTACAAAAATTAAAAGAATGGGCAAATACTTGGGACTTAAAAATAAATTTCCTAAAAAGTAAACTCCTCTGCTTTACAAACAAGAAAATAAATCATTTACCAACAATTAAAATGGACAATATAGAAATAAAATATGTACAAAGCCACAAAATATTAGGCCTAACTTTAGATGCACCAAAACTAAAGTGGAAAAACCATATAAAATAATATAAAAGTAGAAACATTATACAGAGATAAATCTCATGAAAAAGCTAGCCTCATTCAACTGGGGAGCCAACAGAGAAACCCTGATAAAATTCTACAAAATATACATAAAACCGAAAATAGAATACGGAATAACAATATACGGTGCAGCAAAAGAAGGAGAAATTAAAAAAATAGAAATCCTCCAAAATCAAGTATTAAGACTCGCTACAGGATGCCTTAATTCAACCCCAATAATAGCCCTTCAAGCTTTAACAAATTTACCTCCAATGAAAGACCGAAAAAAAAGAACTGGAATATATACATCTAACCAAGATCTTAAACAAACCCAATAGAATGCCAATAAAACAGCAAACAATAAACTACATAAAAGAATATAACCCCCAGAGAGACAAGAGATCTCTATTCCACAGAGTCACAGAAACTAATAAGATTCTGAATATTGAACTAAAAATAAATGAAGTACCAACCACTTCACCAGTACCCCCATGGTTTGATATCTCAAATTATATTCAAATAAATTTTGCTGAAGAACTTACAAAAAACACCCCTCAAGTAGTTATTCAAAAATATTACCAAGAAATGATAAACATAAACTACAAAGATTATACCAAAATATTCACCGATGGATCAAAAATAAAGGAACCAGAATCAACCTCAGCAGCAATATTTATTCAAGACAAAGAAATAACAACTATCTGGAAACTACCAGCTAATATAGAAATAACCCACGCAGAACTCTATGCAATAAAGCAAGGACTAAATTATATTATAAACAATAATCTAAACAAAACGGTAATACTAACAGATTCCCAATCATCACTACAACTTCTACAAAACCGTAAACCTCTAAATTATATACAAATCATATATGATATACAAAAGCAAATGCATACAATTGAAATTAAAAAAACAAACAATAAAAATCCAATGGATTCCATCACACAAAAACATTAAGGGAAACGAAATAGCAGACTTAGCAGCAAAGAAAGGTCATGAACTAAACAACACCATGAAAGTTTCTCAAGACCCAAATTATACAATAAAAGAAATAAAATAAAAAAATTTCAAACAATGGGAATCGAATCTCAAAAGATTACTAAACTCAAAGAATTATCTCATAAAAGACAACAACATAAAACCTTGGGTCAGAGCTAAAAACAGAAAAATGGATACATGTATCGCAAAATTATTAACCAAACATACAAGACTAAAACAACATTTATATAGAATAAAAATGGAAAACGACCCATACTGCAGATGGTGCAGAAACCAAGAGGAAACAATAGAACATATGATAATACAATGCCCAAGATTCAACTCCCATAGAATAAAACTAAAACAAGCACTTATTCAAGCAAATATTTATGACTTTAACATCAACCTTCTGTTAACAGGGACAGATCATCCATTACCACTGAAGTATTACATACTGAGACACACCAAGATCTTCCTACAAAGAACCAAGCTAATCAACCTAATATAAGAAACTTCAAGAACAAAAGAAGAGGATCCAGGGGATATAGACAACATAGTCTAAACCCTATAACAAGAAAGAAGAAGAAGAAGAATCACTCACTCATTCTCTCTGTCTGTCTGTCTCACTCTCACTTTCACTCACTCTCTCTCTCTCTGTCTCACTCTCACTCTCTCTCTGCTTCCCTCTCTCTCCGTTTGCCACCCTATAGACCTCTTTGTGCCATCCTATCTCTCTTTCTATCTCTCTCTCTTTCCCTTTCTCCTCTCCTTCTCTCTCACTCCCTCTCTTTTATTCAACTGCTTGAAGTCTAGGTCATTTGTTCTGATTCATAAGAAAATTATTGGTAGCTTCTGCTTCTGTTTTTTTGTCATCAGATTGTTATTATCAAAAGATATCAATTCAGTATGTTCTTAAACCGAATTTTCGATCAACTTCACCTATCTTACGTAGAAATTCTTGACAAGAAACAAGTATTATATTGTGATTTCTATGGCTTTACAATATATGCCATGGTCTGTTTTTTATTCACTTTCAGCACTAAAGGAATAGCTGTCATTTTATCAAAGGTCCTCATATATCACAAGGCATGCAGGGGATGAGTATATGACGTGTAAAATTTACATATATTAGCTCCACAGACAGTCATATTCATATAATAAACCAAAATATCCTGCAAAGTCAACATATTACTAGATAACAATTTTGGCAAATAAAAGACATGAAGTTATGGAATCTCCTCCAGAACTTATCCACATGAGCTACAGTTGTAGTCTCTTGATCTAATGTTCTGGCAAAGACCAACAAATTCCAAGACACTTTCTGGCAAGGAGCAGTATAGTTTCAGTTTCACACAGGCTTATGGTACAAGGGAAGCTTTGCCTGTAGAGTCCTTTGCAATTGGACAAGTAGTGCAAGACATAATACTTTGGTAAATAGGTCTATACATTTACAGGAAAAAGGCATGACACTATCATAATCAAGGGGGAAAACTACACTCATTCACATGAATTAATCTGCATAAACAAAAAAATGAATTCAGATATGAAGAAAACAGGTTGTAAGAAATGAGAATCAGTCCATGGCAATTAGGTGGGACTCTGGGGACAGGGCCACAGAAAATAGACATTGGCAATCTGATGGGGATCTGGAAGCAAAACCTCCAGGTTAGGAAGGTGTTTGGTTCATTACATGATGCTTATTGATTTCTCAGGAGTGACTGGAGTAATAGGGTCATTTTGTAAACAATACCAATACTTTCCCTCTTATCATTTACAATTCAAAATAACAAGAGATTCACATATGTTAGTGTGATAATTAAAAAAAGGAATAATAACAGCAAGGTTGTGTGAAACTAAAAAATTACCAAAGGTGCTTTGCCTCCCTCTATTTGACAATCACTCATGAAGGATGTTTGCAAGCTTCTGCTCAGCCAAAATATACATTATTGCATGTTGATCTCTAATTGCACTATAAATCTTCATTTGCTAATTCATATGGAATGGACAGCAGTTTGTTATTTTGCATTTTCTTTATGCATTATTATTCTATAAATAAAGAAAAGAATACACAATATTAAGATCAATTTTTCACAGCCAATCACAACACCAACACACCTGAGACTTAAACCCTCAATTTGAGTTCATATTCATATTATGGATGCATTAGGCTGGGGCCAATTGAAACTGAAATTCCTGTAGAGGACAAAATTTGCAGTCATCAGTACAAGCAATAATCTGCAGACAGAAATTGGAAAAAGATTACAGATAGCACTCCTCGCAGCCTAAGTCCACTTGGTGCTACCAATTTTCAGCTTTATCTTGTCATGCATACCAATGTGAAGACAATTCAGAGGGTTGTGGGGGGGGCAGTGCACCCATCAACTCCCTTCAGGCAGTATGCAGCAACTAGAGTTGTTGAATAAATTTTGTAAAGGAGTTGGGAGTCTCTGGTGAGTAAATCTGTACTGTAAAGAATTATCTTAATCTAAATTAATAAGACAGGATATAGAACTACAAAAATACATGTAAGTATCTGAAGCATTACCAATTTACATCTAAAAAAGAGAGACCTAAATTCTGGTATCAAAACACCTTTTAAAATATCATCATTACTATTTGCAGTCTTATTGGATTATAAAGGAAATATGCTTCTGTATACTACATGATTGATGATTGATGATGACGATAACAATGATAATGATGATGAAGAAGAAGATGATGTATAGTTT